GTCCGACTAATTTCTTTCTATTTTTAGTAGAGATGGGGTCTTGCTCTTGCTCAGGCTGGTCTCGAACTCCTGAGCTCAAACAATCCGCCCGTCTCGGCCTCCCAGAGTGCTAGGATTACAGGCGTGAGCCACCGCGCCCGGCCTGTAATATACTTTTAAAGTACGCCAGAGGAATTTGATTTCTAAAAGAACTGCAAAGAAACTTTGATACAAGGTGATGCATTATTTGGTAATTTGAGTAGTCAAGCTCTTACTTGCTTAAGTGCAGGCTTTTGTCGATCATTTTATTGAACTAGGAAAAACCATATTAGAAATTAAGAAAAGTAGTTCAACACTAAGAATTTTAAGTATGAACTTTAATTGGTTTTCAAACTCTGTTGCTTGGATTCCTATGGTTTTTTTCCCTAGATTCCTTGAGACTTCCTCTGACAACCCACCCTCCCAAACAAGGGCAGCTTCTATTTTTGTCTGTTAAATGTCTTATACTTAAATACAAGAATTCCTTTGAAAAAAAAAAGTTCATCTTCATTTAAAAAATTTTAAAGCCTCTGATTTGTTATCCATTAATTCAGATTACTTTTATGCAGAACTTACTATGTGACTGACCCTGAGAATACCCAGAAAAATTAGAGATAGTGTAGCTCAAGCTTTAGTTGAAGAGTAATAACTATAAAGGAGTAAATAGTTAAAAGTACTAAGAGATGCAGAAAAGAGAACACCTATTTTTGTCAAGACCTCTTTGAGAATTCTTCACAGAAGAGACATTTTAATTTGAGTTTTAACTGCAAGTAGGGGTTTGAATATAAGAGAAAAAAAAAGGGTAGTCTTTTTTTCCCCCCACCATATTTTAGAATCTGACTGTCCACATACCTTAGGTTTGCAGTGAAATGAAACGGATTGTTAATGTTTGCTCATATCTGTGTATTTTACTTCTTAGAATTAGAGCTATTACTTGTGAAAAGGATTTATGCATAACTTTGTAATTATGCGGTTAAAATATGACTAGTATATGTCACTTGGTTAGATTCTCAAGCTTTTCATCCAGAAGAGTTGATGGTAAAAGTGAGTTTTCATTTTTTTAGCTTCAGATTACATTTAGCCTATTTATTACCCCTGACCAATATTTTATTGAGCAGCTAGACTCTGTGAGTGATATAAGAAGTATAAAATATTGCTCCCTTAATAGAGCTATTACTTTCGTGAAGAGAGAGCATGACAACGTAGGAATTTGGGCTATATACAGGGCAATACATACTGATTAAAAATTGGTATAAAGGAATTGAG